AAATGCAGTTAAAATGTCTCAGATTTTTCTAAATTGGGCTGTAGTTTACTCAAGGGATAGGTCGGTGTCTTGTGAAGATAAGGACTTAATACTAAGGGAGTATTTTCATCTTCACCCATGCCAAAGATAATAAAATATTGTTATAAAATAATAAAACACAATAAAAATAGGTGCATATGAATAAAATGAATAAAATGCATTTGAATTAGAGTTAAGGTAAAAATAATATTATCATTGTCTGCTTCTGAAGCAGCCTTATGACAATGGGTGTGAGTCATAGGCAAATTCACGCTTAGATATTTAGGTTTTCAAATGGGCAAATTGGGAATAAGCCATTTGCTGACATGTTGAGGACTAATAAGTATAGCTAGCATGTGATTTCTTGGCTGGCCAATTAAGCTTTCCTGTTGTTTGAATGAGGTACCTGCCAGTTTAGGCAAGCTATCAAGTAACAGAGAGATACTGAGTTAGTTCAGGCATAACTATTTTGGTCTAATGCAAGCATTGTGCTTCCACAACCCCTCCCTCCTCTTGTATGCCATAACAGACAACTTCTATGATTTGCAAAGCCATTGCTTTCCATAACAACTGAACTGGGAGCTGTGGTTTAATCTTCGTTTACAAACCAGGATACGAAAACCAGTTTTGATCCTGGTTTCGTATTCTGACTCAAAGTCATGAGAGAGAAACTCAGCTCAACTGACCTTGTAAATTGGTCTATGTCTGCTGTGGGAAGTGATGAGGCAGTGAGTAAGGCAAAAAAATCTTGTTATGTGGGGTGGAATAGTGCACAACCAGACAGAGTCATAATACCAACATAGGCTAATATTTTATTTATCTCTGATCCAACTTCACAGCTTCAAAATACCGTGTTGCAAAATTAAATGATTCACAGAAGAATGTGCCAAGTAAAATATGTGGGATGTATTAATTTCAGTATTCTTAACCCAGCCTTCCGTTAAAATCTTCAAGCAGCAAACATACATTTGTACATTTTTATAATAAGGAAACAAAAATAATCACAGTCACATTAAAACATCATTTAAAAAAGTTAAATCAGACTGTAGGGATCAAAATCCCATTTGGAAAACAATACCCATAAATGCCTGCCAAAAAGAAAAAAATGTTTTGGCTGACTTCTCCCTGTATAGGGAAAAGCTATAGATTTTTAAAACCTTTTTAAATTAAAGAGCTTTGGTTGTGCATGCTTTCTATTAGCCATGTTTAGATTAATTACTATTTTACTCAGTATTGTAAAGACTGTTCTCATGTTTCTTTATATGTGTTTTACAAGAGGACATGACTTAGAAAGAAAGAAAAAAGCTTCAGCCATACTTTGATAATTTTTTTTTTTATTCCAGCTAAGAGAACATGAGCTCCCAGCACATCACTAGCCTAATATAATTAATTTCCAAAATGGAAATTGAATTAAAATGGAAATCTTTTAAATTGATTTCTTCTTATGCTATCTTTCTAAAGAGTTACCTAATATTTTTGAGAGCTTTTAAAAGGATTTATTGGATTGATTCCCAATAGATTCCCCTTTTATTTACTGGACTATGGTAATTATACCCTTAGGCACAAACCTTTGCTGATTGTCAATATCCAAAGCCAAATGTCACCGCTAACAAGGTAGGAGTTGACAGTCAAGAATGATTAGTACTTGATCTTAAGGGTATCTTTGCGCAGATAGCCATTATCCTTTTAAGCATCTTCAGGTCACATGAAGCAGTGAGTCAGTTCAAAAGATCATCTTGCCACACTGCTGGGATTTATTTATTTTTTTAATACACCACGCCTGGAATTACATTGAGTATTTGCAAAATGTCTGCAATAATTTAAAATACCTTTTCAACTCTCTGCAAGCTAGATTCGCCCCTGAAAAATGTCTCCCTTTCAGAAATCGGAGGTGTCTCTGAACAGAGAGTAAAGGATCTGAAGATTTAGGGAGATAAGAGATTTCCAGGTTTAGAAGGAGATGGTTTTTTTCTCTGCATTTGATTATAGACATATTAAATATGACCTGAATCTGTTGGGTCTCTGAAGCTGTGAGAATTCAATGGACAAATGAGGGGATCTTTTTTCTCCTTTTTGGTGTGAAGCTGTTGAAATGGTGATCATTTGTAATAATTGCACAATGCTTCATGTATGTAAACTTCTTGAATTAAGAAAGACAGGCGTACCACTGAGACTGATAGGCTACACTTACCAGTTATCAACCAGCTATTGGTATGGAAAACAAAATAGCCAAGGAAAATATATGGTGCTGTAAAACAATATTCCATGAGAGGAATGAATGCTGCATTCACCTTTAGACTTCACCATTACTTATCACTTTTATTATTGATACATTGCATTCACTTTATTTATTTGAAATATTTCCATACCATTATTCATTTAAATTGGGGGGGGGGCGGCTTTTTAATCATGGTTTTAAACCCTAAAGAAATACATGGTTGGTGACTTTCCCCCGCCCACTGCTGACCACATGTTTAATTAGTGTTTAAAACGTTGATTACAAACATGCAGTCTGGAGGGGGGAGAAGGAAACAATGCAGATGAGAGTTGCTGTCTTTGCCTCCTTTTTGCCCCACCCCATGCCAGTTTTAAGGTTAAAAATTAGAGTGCTTTGCAAGGTCCCCAATTCAAGTTGGGGTCAGGATTGGTTCAGGTCATCCCAGGTCAGATTGGGTCCAATACGAGATGTTAAATCAGGTCCCATATCTGAAGAGCTATATCAGATGGGGTGTGCATGCACAACTCTAGAATTCATATCTCTATGGGTGCCAAATTATTGATAATTATTACACACACAAAATGGGTCGGTAGTATATCATTTCAGTAACACACTGCAAAATGTACAGCTGCAAGCTTTAATTAATAGGTCGGCCAGCTGAAACTCTCATTCTGTTTGTTTCAGCTAATGTTTCTGCAACTCTTAATTATATGTTTTTTGGACGATAAGGCAGAGGAATAGGGAACCTATGGCCTTCCAGATCAGGCCTGGTCAGTTGCCAGGGATGGTGAGAGATGTCCATCACCATAATCTCTATGAAATTATTGAGTATTTCTTTTGGGACAGTGGGATCTTTCTGCTTCATATCTCCTTATAACATTACCATTATTATTGTGAAAGTTATAAGAAGAAGAAAACAGCACACTGAAGTGTTTATAATAAATAATTTATGGACTAGTCATGTGTGTTTCAAGGAATCACATGCAATTCAACTAAAAAAGCAGAAGTAAACAAATTAGTATGTAGCAATAGGGCTTGGCTAAGCTTTAATTGTAATCATTTGTGTTACTGATCATTTCCATTCAGTTCATGTTGTGCAATGTATTCATTGGGGTTGTCATTGGCCTTTAGTTTTGGAATTGCTGCATTGTTTATTGCTTTTTTTTTGTTTTTAATTTTAACTGAATTGCAGGTGCCTTCCATCCTTTCAGCTAGATATAATCATTGCAGGCATTGAATACTTTTGTTTTGCCTCCCACACAATTTTCCATTTCTCTCCAAGCAGTTTTTTCAGTACTTCTTCAAACCTTGGGGGGTCCCCTGAAATTCCTGATTTTTGATACATGGTATATATGATGATGTTTATCCATTTTCATTCTTAGCACAACTGGCAGGGCTTCTAAAGGCGTGCCACTGCAACATCAAAACCATTTTTAAAAAAAGAGGACCTCCCCCAGCCTACATGGCTGATATCTCAAAACCCTAGGTGATAGATATGAAAAGATTGCTCTTGCAAGCCAGCACATAACGATCAACGTGGGGCTACCTTTGAAGGTGACCCGGAAACTACAACTAATCCAGAATGCGGCAGCTAGACTGGTGACTGGGAGCGGCTGCCAAGACCACATAACACTGGTCTTGAGAGACCTACATTGGCTCCCAGTACGATTCTGGGCACAATTCAAAGTGTTGGTGTTAACCTTTAAAGCCCTAAATGGCCTTCGCCCAGTATACCTGAAGGAGCGTCTCCACCCCCATCATTCTGCCCGGACGCTGAGGTCCAGCGCCGAGGGCCTTCTGGTGGTTCCCTCATTGCGAGAAGTGAGGTTACAGGGAACCAAGCAGAGGGCCTTCTCGGTAGTGGTGCCTGCCCTCCCATCAGATGTCAAGGAAATAAGCAACTGTCTGACTTTTAGAATACATTTGAAGGCAGCCCTGTTTAGGGAAGTTTTTAATATTTGATGAATTATTGTATTTTAATGTTTTTGTGGAAGCTGCCCAGAGTAGCTGGGGAAACCCAGCCAGATGGGTATGATATAAATAATATATTATTATTATTATTATTATTATTATTATTATTATTATATGGTTTGTTATAATATTGCTCTACTTCAACTTTCTATTTTGATACTAAATTTTAATAGCTTATTAAGTTTCAGAAGTATTCTGGAAATATAAGCATGCTCCTTTACAGTGAATTGGAATAATTTCATCACTGCTGTACTATCTGCATTCAGCCCTTTGGGGCAGGCATAGGCAAACTTGGCCCTCCAGATGTTTTGGGACTACAACTCCCATCATCCCTAGCTAACAGGACCAGTGGTCTGGGATGATGGGAATTGTAGTCTCAAAACACCTGGAGGGCCGAGTTTGCCTGTGCCTGCTTTAGGGTCATTTCACACCATGGCTACATGCAGGAGCTGGTCCTACAGCTCACACAAACCCCTCTCTGATACATGTGTTGCGCAATCTGATGGAAATGCATGCATTGCCTCTTGCAATTCCTACATTGCACATGCCCCATGCAAGTGCTTGTTTTTTTGTTGTTGCAGACAAACCACTGGTGGATGTGTGTTCTCATATGGACGACACATAGAGATAATGCATATAAATACACAATTGAATAAATGCACGGCTAGCCTGATACTCCATCTCCATCCCATGGTCCTTCTCATGTAGATTATCCACAGTTGGAGCTTTGATGCTAAGCACGCATGCTAGTTCTTACCATGTAATCATTTTCTCTCCCTCCGTTTTATTGCAGGTAGATAAAGTGTGTGGACAGCCTGAAGAAAAAGAAGTGAGACCTTTACCAGACAACATAGTTCAAGCAAAGGAAGTAACTGAGACACAGGCTCTGACAATGACACACTCAAATACTCTAAGCAGTAAAAGGAGGTAACCCCGATGCAACAATTTTTTCTCATAAATTTGAAACTGGAGTTTCCCCAAAATGCACCATTTTAAAAATATGAAACAAACTTCTGAAACCAGAATTGGGCTTTTCAGTACTCACTTCCATTACATATTCACTAAGCATGTTTATATGAAACTGGTCCTATTTAGAAATCTAGATTAAATGCTTCAAGTTACACATGGGGAATTTGTAGTTCAAAACATATGGAGGGCTACAATTCCCATCATCCCTAACCATGGACCATACTGACTGCGACTGATGGAAATTGGAGGCGAACAACTTCTGGAGAGCTATAGGTTCCACACTCCTGGTATTAGCAAATATTATGTACTTTGCATGCGGGTGGCGCGGTGGTCTAAACCACTGAGCCTAAGGCTTGCTGATCACAAGGTCGGTGGTTCGAATCCCTGTGATGGGGTGGGCTCCCATTGCGCTGCCTAGTCCCTGCCAACCTAGTAATTTGAAAGCACGTCAAAATGCAAGTAGATAAATAGGTACTGCTCCGGCGAGAAGGTAAACGGCGTTTCCGTGCACTGCTCTGGTTCGCCAGAAGTGACTTAGTCATGCTTGGCACATGACCACGGACAAACACCAGCTCCCTCAGCCAGTAAAGGGAGATGAGCGCTGCAACCCCAGAGTCGTCCACGACTGGACTTAACGGTCAGGGGTCCCTTTACATTTACCTTGTGTACTTGCTTACTGTTACAACCTAACTGAAGAGAAAGAGCAGGTTATGTTTTGCCCTGCAGCGGTATATGGCCAAATTTTAACACCATAGCTGGTGAACAAGAAGCATTTACCCATATGGCATTGTTGGGATGGATCCAATGATTCCTAGAGCTGAGTTCTGCTCCCTTCTCCACTAATGGAAAGCGTTGATTAATTGAGACATAAGGCAGATTCTCTGGTCCCCTGTTATGTTTTTTTGTTATTCCATAACAGGTTAATTTAACCCATAAGAGAATCCAGAAGTATTCATATGAATTTTCTGAGCAGAGCAATATAATCTGCACCAAAACGCCTTATTTGTCTCTAGCGTTCAATTAGCTATAGGAATACCTGAATACACAATAAATTGTTCTTCAGCTGTTTGGAGGAAATAATATATCCATTGCCAGTATACCAGTTAAAGCCCATGTGAGCAGCCTTACTTCATTCTAACTCTGAATCAGACCCATCTAAAATGATAATGAGTTCGTGCAGAAATTCAGGTGTTAATTTGTAGCTTATTAGACCAATATACTCCAACCAACTTCAGATACCTTAACAAGCAACGTGATGTCCTTTATTGCAAAGTTCCTGTAGGCAGTTCCCTTTTGATGCAAGCAACTCTTATGAATGCTCATTTGCAAATTCAAGATCTAGAGTAACATAAAGTAGTTGAGCAGCTACAAATTCCAGTTGGGGCTGAAGTCAGCCGACACTGTAGGCAGTCCTAATGACTAACTGGTGACCAGCATACAGCTATAGAATAAAATATTAGAACAGCCTTCTTTTTCTACCAAGATTGTGATGTAATCTGTTCCAGATTGGTAAGCATTTCTTCCTTCCACCCCATTCCCCCCCCCCCACTCTGTTTCCTGTAGCTGATGTTTGCTCAAAGTAATGGTGTTTTGTTTTATCGCCATCTAAATTTATTTTCCTCTTCCCATATCTTTTGAACTTTGTGAAACTTGTTTCTCTGTGGATGACACTGGCATGACTAAAGCTTGCTCAGAAACTGCATGGTATTTCAGTTCTTCTTATCTCTGCATGTACATGCGATGCTATGCCTCTTCAGCAGATGTTAGTGGTATTCTTTTGTTTTTTCTTTACCAAACACAACTCAGAAATGAACGGACCCTGGAAATACAATTTTCTTTAAACTTGGAAGTCTCAAAATGAGCAGTACTGAAACATTTTAGAATCGCAGGAGCAGTCACTCATACAAGGAGCCTACATATAGATGGTATTGGCTATCCTATCTGGGATCCACATTAATAAATTCTGCTACTAAACATAGTCTGTATATGCACTTTGTTTAAAAGCAGAGTGGTTGGCACTTTAATTGGAGAAGGAAACAGCTGAGGTAATACGATGTCAAGATTTTACTGTATTTCTACTACCTGTGGTGCTCTATTTTAAACTTAAACAATATAAGGACATGCACTAGACCATTACAAACACCCACATTTCATAAGATTTCCCATAGGACCTTCTGAGTTAAAATATGTCAGTGATCTAAAGTTTCAGGAAGGTTCTTGTAACTCAAATGAAGCCCTCAAGAGCCAGTGTGGTGTAGTGGTTAAGAGCGGTAGACTCGTAATCTAGTGAACTGGGTTCGCTTCCCCGCTCCTCCACATGCAGCTGCTGGGTGACCTTGGGCCATCACACTTCTCCGAAGTCTCTCAGCCTCACTCACCTCACAGAGTGTTTGTTGTGAGGGAGGAAGGGAAAGGAGAATGTTAGCCGCTTTGAGACTCCTTCGGGTAGTGATAAAGCAGGATATCAAATCCAAACTCCTTTATAGGGATTTCATAGGAATATAAGGAACATATACAAACATTGGTCCATCTGCTTCAGTATTGTCTACAAAGATGGGTAGGGGTTCTCCAAGGTTTCAGACAGAGATATTTTCTCCAAAAATTCACCTGGATACACCTGGGAATGAACCTGGGACCTTTTGCATACAAAGCAGGTTCTCTTCCACTGAGCTACACCACTTCGCAAAGGATGTAAACTAAAACAAGCAGATATGGATTTATTTACTCACTTAACCCTACCCTTCCAATATCCCTGAAGGGGCAATGATCTTTTCTTTGTTTCTTTTCCCTGTGGAAATAAGTGTTTTGTTCCCCTGAGAAGGAATGCTTTTCCCTCTCAAGCACTTTCACATGTGCTTCTTCTCATCTACAAATCATTTGTCCTGCTCTGTTCTCACATGTATGCAATAACTTTTCTTAATGTGACATTTGGAGATAAATTCAGGAGATTTATTTTCAGCATTTTGAACCTTCATTTTGTAATGGTATCCATTAAAAAAAAAGGGATAAATTTCTTTTAACATGTTTTAGAGTAAAGTTCAAATCCTCAAGCACAGAGCACAATCTACCCAGAACTAAACTGTGGGTGGACTGTGCCTTTATTATTATATTTTAATATATAGGTTGGAGCATATTTTATTTGCTGGAGCATATTTTTTTATTTGCATTTGTGCTTCTCTGGTTTAATCCTGTGCATGTTCTTGATTATCTTTTCTTTCAAATAATTTATTACTTTTTGTTTCTCATTTCTTTTTCTTTCTTTGCCTGAATTCCTGCTTCCCCACTCCTCCTCCCCGCCTTCTGACTATTCTCCCTGGCCCACTCCAGTTCTCTGCCTCTGAAAGCTTCAAAGAATGACAAATCCAGAAGTTTGAAAAAAATGGCCCGGTAAGAATGAAAAGAAGCTGACATGTTTTTGTCTCTTCATTTTAAATGAGCTGTCCAAACCTCAAGGCTCTTGCTTTCGTTTTAAGAGTACAAGGTTTTGTTCAGCATTACCATAAAATGCCTCTAATATTAATTTCTTAACTCAAATGCAACCATCTAGAAGAACCATGTTATTAAGAGGGGGGAAATACTGAAACTTTTGGCTCAGATATCATTTTAAAATAAGGTGTCTACTGTTTAAAGACATACCAGAAAATGTTCTCCTTGCTCTATTTTATAGACAATGGGTAACATAGACAATGAAATTTGAATATTTCTTAGCTCCAATCTGAAGTTTCAATCATATTTTTCAATCAAGGCTTTTTGTTTCTATACTAAAAATTCATATATCACTCTTCAAAACTAAGTATGCATTTCAATTTTGTGTTCAGTATTAAAAGGGAGTTTGTACATTCCTATCCTAACATGCAGACTTTTCACTACTAAAATCTCACTTTTGCCTGCCACTCCTAAGCTAGAATTTGCCTTTTATCTGTATCTGGAGAAAATGGCAATAATTGCACTTGTGTGCATGATCCAACTCCTCCTCCTACATGTCCAGTAGTTCTTGCACCTGGACCTGTAGGGAGGAAGAGTGGCTCAGGATGAGGTCAGTGGTATGGAAATCCTCTTGCAGCTATGGTGAGATTGATGCACACAGAGACTGGATCATCCTCTGTATGCTAAGAATGCGATTGTCTTCATGGTAAGGGCTAGGCGTCTGGAAAATACCTAGGACTTTGTGTTCTGGAAATAGTCAGTTACATAAGAATATAAAAAAAACACTGCTAGGTTTGGTAAGCCCTTCGCAATAAATCCCCCTGCTCCATCAGAGTTGTATTTACAGTTTTATTGTTTTTATTGTACACTATTTACAAGGTACAGAGCATCGCTTCAAGCGTCTGAATTGTCCGTAGCAGATCCCGGGAGTGGGAACTTCCTGCTCCTCCTCTAGCAAAGCAGCTTGGGCGTCTACATTGTTCTCTGCGTTTTAACCCCCTCCTGTCCTGGGCTGACGGAACTGGTGTTCCCTCTCCCTCCGTGTCTGAGCTGGTAGAGGGGTGCTGCTGTTCTCTAACATCAGGGAGACTTGCCTCCGCCTGAGTGGTCTCCCCTTCCGCTCCACCCTCTCTCAGTCCTGCCTCTTCTACCGGCTCCCCGCTCTCCCCCTCCTCCAACTCCGGAGCCTTCCCTGCTGGCTCCATGACACCAGGTCAATGGCCCATTTAGTCTGGCATCCTGTTCTCACAGTGGCCAAGAGGACTCTTTCCTCCTGAAGTTTCCAGCAACTGTTATTCAGTTGTTTCTCTCCTTGATGTTAGAATTAAAATCAGGATTTCTCAAACTTGGGTCTCCAACTGTTTTTGGACTACAATCCCCGTCATCCTTGACCGCTGGTCCTGCTAGCTAGGGATGGTGGGAGATGTAATCCCAAAACAGCTGGAGATCCAATTTTGGGACACCATAATTTAAATGAAGGAAGTACTAGGATGCCTGGATTTTTGATAGGTGGTATCTTATACAAATCTAGACTAGACTCTACTCTTAGAATTTCATTGGATGGCTCTTCAGCAGAAATATTATCCATTCCAAAGGCAAAAACCTTGCTGTAACCACCACCTGGGTCTTTTCTGTGTTCTCCAGGACACACTTGAAAATGGGGAAGGTTTGGTTTGGAACTTGGTGACTGTGGAAATTGACTTGAAGCAGGAACTTTTCAATGGGGAAAGTGGTAGGGAAGGCGAGGCACCACCCTCTCCTCTGCTTTGCCACTTCTCTCTTTCACACACATACCAAGATGCTATTCATACAAGAATGACCCTTTGGGATTTCAGTACATGCGTTTGCTCATGTATTGCTAACTCAGTAGAATAGTTAGACAGAGCTGGGCCGAAGTTTAAGAATGAACATCGGATTAAGATTACGAAGTTGCCTAGAATGTTAAATGTGCTCCTGTTGGTGTTGCATTGCTAACATTATGTTTTTCATTTCTAGGGAATTCATCAACTACATGAAACGATCCAGAACACTCTATGCCTCTTTAACTGAAAGACTCTGTGATGGTGATCTTGTGATGAAAGACAGTTCGACTTGCTGGAACGGAGAGGATGTTGTAGAAAGGTAACTGTGAGAGGGGTGTTCTCTCTCTGAGTGGACACGATGGAGGGAATTTGTTTCTGCATACTGATTGTTTCTTACTGGACTGGGACAAAACCCTTTATATAGGTCAGTTTCTTTCAACCAGTGTGTTGAGGACTGGGCAAAAGCACTTACATACACTTGTCATTCTGAGTCTGTCACCAGGCCTTTCTGGCTTGGGTAGGTGACACTTAATTCCTGCCTAGTTTGTACTGCCTTACAGAGGTGCAAGATAACTTCTGAAAGTTGATTAAACATGTAGTATTGGATTCCATGCCATTACCAGTCCTTTTGGATCATAGCACTGGAGCTAGAAAGAACATTTTACCTGCATGTGGAGGTCACTCTCTGTGTTGATTATTGCTGGTGGAGAGGCAAACATTTGACTGTGGTTCCTTGCCACTCTGATCTTTTTAATCCATTCTACCATTGCTACTTTGCACATTGTTTTGCAATTCTGACAAGGGGTGGAATTGAATTCTGCACTCTTCCAATCTTTCCATCTGCGCAAGTGTTGATGCCCCATCTCCTTCCCAATGTGCACTGTTTAGAGAGTTCTCCAGCTAATTTCAAGGATGGGGGGAGTGGAGGGGGGACAACCCCATTGCACAAGTAGTAGTCCTTGCACAGGGATTCCACAGACAGGCCTTGTTAGTTAGGTGAATCCCACTGGAAGAGTTGTTTTCAGTTTCCTCTTGTTCAATGGGTAGAAATAGAGCAAAAATGCTTAGGAACAGAGTAGATAAGAAGGATCAGCTGATGGTTTTAGTAATTCCCTTCCATATGGTGATGGTAGTGATTTCTGTGTAGACTTGAATATTCACAATTGGTTTTACAGCCCTGGATTCTTGGCTACATTCAGCATATTTTTTTAAAAAAAATGCTATAGCAGAAGTGTTAAACCTTAAGTAATGTGGTGAGTGCTCACTGGAAGGACAGATCCTGAAGCTGAGGCTCCAATACTTTGGCCACCTCATGAGAAGGGAAGACTCCCTGGAAAAGACCCTGATGTTGGGAAAGATGGAGGGCACAAGGAGAAGGGGACGACAGAGGATGATATGGTTGGACAGTGTTCTCGAAGCTACCAGCATGAGTTTGACCAAACTGTGGGAGGCAGTGGAAGACAGGAGTGCCTGGCGTGCTCTGGTCCATGGGGTCACGAAGAGTCGGACACGACTAAACGACTAAACAACAACAAAGTGGTGATAGGTATTGGACCCCTGTGGTCCACAAACATTTGAAAATCTACATATACATGTTACTAGAAATAAGCAACAATTACATCTGGCTCAAATCAGTCAATCATGGTTCTGAAGAGGGGTCAGTGACTGCAAACATGTCCCTTTAAATTGTTCATCAGCAGAGTCTATTAGGAAACAATAAAGTGCAACATGGCCTATCCCTTAACTGTGGCTATTGATGGACCATTATTTGAAGCCACAATTGACTAGCAAATGAAAAGAGAACCAGATTAATATTTACCATAATTAAAATTAAAGCAGATCTAACTCTTAACTTTGGTTAAATCCAGAAGCAGAAGGGTAGGGAAATTGAAGCAAAGGAGGATTGGGCTCCCTCTCCTATCAGTGGGTCTTGACAGATTCACTGGCGGCAATGCCAGCTTTCCAAGTGATCTACACAGAATTGGGTGGTTGAATGTCAGCAACATTCTCACTTCCTGCACTTCCCCAATGTAGGGTCAGCCCTGATTTATTTATTTTTAAAGCAAGAACCCAGGGCAGATGGACCCTGCTGAGTGACAAGGCCTCAACCAGCTGCTCACTCAGATGCTTGGTGCTCTTCTGGGAAAGCAGGCATGATACCCCATTCCTTATCCCTAGTTGAGAGGTCATGCTGTGTCTGTACTGGCACTGGGTAGGACAAAACAACCTGGATGATTACTGTGTCTTGAAAGTTCATGCTGTTCTTGACTTGGTGTGATTCCAAATCTGCACCAACACAATGAAATAAGCCACACAAATGTAGCAAACACTGTGCGACCTTCACAACTTTTGCAAAGATCATCTCTGTCCCTGATGGCATCGCAGCGGGGAAAGCGTTTGAGTCTTCGTACTTGGCACTCTCTATGTGTGCTTTCTTGCTGTGTGTTCTGTTTACAGATCCTTAAGGAATTCTTTGCAGGCTTGTTTGCTTCAGATTCGTTTATTGTTCTTTTCACCTTAGCAGGAAGCTGCATCTCGCCAAGAGAAAAGTCTCTTTCATGAAAGGTGATTTGGCTGGGGGAGAGTGAGATGGGATGCATTTCGCTGAGGCATTTAGATTAAAAACAAAGGATTAAAGGTGGCACAATTGATTCTTATCTTTTGTACAGTAAGCTACATTCCAGCCATGCAAAAGTCAGAGGTTTATGCAAAAACATATACCTCCTTCCAGGCAAGGGAGAGTCCAATGACCTGTTCTGTCTGAACAAAAGCTCTCAAGGATGGTGCAGAGCAGGGCTTGTGAGTTGTAGCCTAGGGAGATGGGGTATGGCACGGGGAGAGTCCTACGAGGAGGGGTGTAGTGGGGGGCCCAGGGGCACAGCCCAGGGTGCACAATTTTGAGGGGGATACAACGCAGGGATCCACTTTCCACCCTGCCTGCTGCCAGGGGTCTCTGGACCCCAGAACCTGGCCTGGCCATACTGCCATGGCCCTGACCCCCTTGCTGAATGGCCACCCAACCAGCATTGAGGAGATTCAGCCGTCTCGGGCCGCGGTGGCCAGCCAGGCTCCTTCCTGCATGGGTGGTTGGCCAGGCGGCACAGCATGGCCCCATTTGGCTCTTGTGGTGAGGCTGGCAGGCACAGCAGGCCCCATGAACCCTCCGTATGCATTGCCCAGCAGCGTGGGTGGCAAGGGCTAAGCTAGTACAGTGGGTTCTGTTCACTCTCCACACCCTGCCCCGCCAGGCAAACACCCCGGGCACCAGCAAACAATGCTATGCTGCTGCCCATGAGCCAGATAGTAAGGGTTTGATGATAGAATTGGCCCCCAGGCTTGGGGTTTCTCACCTCTTCTGTAAAGATGCTGACTGGATAACAGGATTGTACTATAAATTACACGATTGTGCTCTAAATTATCCTGGATCAGCCCCTTATCTCCTGTGAAACATCTGGAGGGAATGCTGCTAGAGGATCTGTGAAGAGTTGCTTTTAGGGTTCAAGGTTTTCAAGTACCGCTGCTTTAGTGCTGTCAGCAATCCAAGTAGCACTAAAGTGACACCTAGTGAAAAAGCACTGAAAACAATATAACTCAGCATGTTTCAGGCAAAGCCAAAAATGAAAAAAAAATGAGGGGGATAGGACTGTATAAAGAGCCAGTATAGATTGAATCTGACCCAAGGGGTATCTAGTCCACCATTCTTCCTCCAATAATGTCCAGTCTGGGCCAAGCTATGTGTGACCTTAGCTATGCATTTGAGTGCAGGGTCTTATTTTCACAAATTATCGGCACTGAGCTACCCAGATCCACTGATCTGGATTGGGGCCCTAACCTGAGAACTAGAGGGATTTGGATTTTAGAACCTGTTCTAATCAAAGCTTGCAGCGTGAGGACCCTTTGCTCCCTTAAAAAAACATCAGTTTTCTGCATTCTCTGTGGAGGGTTTGGTATTTCGTAGATGTAATTCGGAATCCAATACAGTGGTACCTCTGGTTAAGAACTTAATTCATTCTAGAGGTCCGTTCTTAACCTGAAACTGTTCTTAACCTGAGGTACCACTTTAGCTAATGGGGCCTCCCGCTGCTGCCCGCGCAATTTCTCTTCTCACCCTGAAGCAAAGTTCTTAACCTGAGGTACTATTTCTGGTTTAGGGGAGTCTGTAACCTGAAGCATCTGTAACCCGAGGTACCACTGTAGTGAATAAGAAAGTAGATCATCCATGTTAATGCGGTTGGATGAGTTGCTTGTGAACTCAGCCCTGAGATTCCTCAAGCATACACACTGGCAAGGGTCCTGGTTTTAATTTCCCTACCCCTTCTTGCATTTCAAGAAGTTGTCTGCAAGGTGAGTAATATTTATTTATGGCATCCACTAATTGATACTTAGCTCTTTAGGAAAAACAAATGTAGACTTTATAAATAATGCACCACATAAACATGACATTAAATATTACGATAGAATATTTATAAATAATAAAAATATGTCAGTCATTAAATAGGGTGGTTTAAGTTTTGCAGAACAAATTCGTGTATTGAATTAGAATTTTGCATTAAATCAGGAGTGGCAGCTGCTACTGTGAAAGAAGCAGCTGGGAGACTGGTTTTGAAGCCATAATAATAGTAATAATTTAAAAGAAAAATACAGAGTTTATGGGAAGGAACGTTTGTATTTCAACCTTTTCCACTCTAAATGTTTAGATCTTGTTACCTTAAGCAGGAGAGCTTAATGTAGTGTTGTGGCTTAGAGTAGGCTTTGATTTAAATCTTATTTTCACCATAAACTCAACCCGTGTTCAGTGCATGGTTGGGTTCCTTCTTCTGAGTTTTTCTCTGTTGTATATGACCTCCAGATGTGCTAGGAAGAGGCACTTAGGGGGAGGATAGCTTCCCAGGTCCAATCAGTCAGTGCAATACAGACACTGGCAAATATTTTTGAATGAACTTTGATGACAGCACAATAGAGATGCCCAATTGCTTTTGCATGGCCCATACTTTACATGGGAAGGGTACGCGAATGCTTAGGAGCTGAATCATCTTAGAACTACTTTTGAATAACATGAAAACAATAGCTTGGGTTTGTGAGATTTTATTTTTTTAAGAGCTGATTAAGTTTGATGTCAAAATCAAAGGGAGGAGCGCAGCTGTAGGAATTATTGTGGTTTCCTTGAGCCTACAGCATACATTACCTCAGAAACCAAGTCACAGTGGATTGTAAGGGGGGGGGAGAGAGAGGAACATGGAATGTATTTTGAATGTTTCTAGTTTGCCATGGTCATCAAAATGTTTTCAAAGTAAACAACACACTAAAAACCAAGCACAA